AAGTGTACTTGAATAGCTTCTAGATATAAAAAGAGACAGTTTCAAAACACAATCAATGGTCTGATTAATATTTCATCTTATCAGAGCCAAGACACTGAGTCCAACCAGTAAGTCTGCTTTCAGTCAGACAGGATTCAGTTGCTTGGTGTTTGACCTTCAACTTCCAAATATAGAAAATGGAAAAGTGCTTATGAGGACATCCATGCAATTGTCAGCCCTGATTTCAAAGGCAACCCATTAATGTAACTATTGGAGAGGGTGTTTTTTGGTGGAGGAGAAAAAATTTAAATTGTTTCTTCATTCAAAGAATATTTATTGAGCATCTACACTGTGCGAGAACCTATACTAATATCTTCATAAGATGTTCTTTTATGTGAGGGATACTCAGAATTGTAAAGTGTAAACTGATCACATGTTTCATGATAATGATGATACAGTCTGAAGAAAGGGTCTCGTTGTTTCTTGTTCTATTACAACTCTAGTCCCAAATAGAATTTAGACTATGTTATCCACAAAACTATAGTTCAGCAGTACTTCCCGGTTCTAGAAACACTGTATTGGAGGGAGAGCTATTTCTTTTTTCTTTCTTATTTATTTATTTACTTTTTGAGATGGAGTCTCGCTCTGTCGCCCAGGCTGGAGTGCAGTGGTACCATCTCAGCTCACTGCAACCTCCGCCTCCCGGGTTCAAGCGATTCTCCTGCCTCAGCCTCCTGAGTAGCTGGGATTACAGGCATGCACCACCACGCCCGGATAATTTTTGTATTTTTAGCAGAGATGGGATTTCACCACGTTGGTCGGGCTGGTCTCAAATTCCTGACCTCATGATCTGCCTGCCTCGGCCTCCCAAAGTGCTGAGATTACAGGCGTGAGCCACTGCGCCTATACAGGGATAGCTATTTTTTTAGGCTATACCCTTCAGGCGTTGGTATGGAAGAAGGTGCCATCTGGCCTGCAGGTACAGGGAGCTGAGAAAAGAGAATTAGCAGAAGGCACTCATAGGCAAATACCTGGGGTAGGTGCTACGGTCTAGATGCAGCACAATACATTATCTGGAATGCTAGTTAAAATGCAGATTCTGGAACCCTTCCAAGAGACACTGAACTAATGTCTCTGGGGTTAGGGACCCAGACATCTGAAAATTTCAAGGCCTTAGCTATGTGTGGGTCTTTCCCATGCACCTAGGTTGAGCTAGGTAGGGGCTGCCCATGTGGGGAAAACAAGGAAAGGAGGGGCCCAAGGGATGGGTAACATTGGAGGAGCACAGGAGCCATGATAGATCATGATAGATATTTCATGATAGATCATGAAAGCATATTTAGAAGACAACCAGAATCCTAAGTCCCGAGAAATAAGATTATGCATCAAGAGAAATGCGTGAGGTGATCCAATCATTGCCAGGGTGGGTTACAGAAAAATGAATCCAAGGATCAAGTGTGGGGTGTACGAGGAGAGTGCTTTGTGAACTGAGATCCACAACACTGGGCCACAGTAGGACTTAGTTTCTAATTAGAGCCTTGTGTCTGTTGTCATGGCATGAAGACTCCTTCAAGATTCAGCTGGTGGCTGGAGAGATTTTGCAAAGTCCTAAGGGGAAGTCCTAAGGCATACTCATCCATCTACTCACTCATTAATTTATTCATGGATTCAACAGTTAGATGTGGCGTATTCATTACTCAACACCTATTAAGGGGATCCCCTACGCACCAGGCACTGTGTCAATGTCGAGACTGTGCAAGGTCACGTGAAGTTTCGTCTTTATCCTAAAAGCAAATGGAAGTCACTGGATGCTTTTAAGAAGAGATGTAACACAATCAGATGACACGTGGAAAGGCCGCTCTGCCACAGTGGAAGGCATGGGCATGGCCACAGGCAGGCCAGCTGGGAGGCTGTCACAGGTTCTGCATGAGAGGTGATGGCTTGGACCGGGGTGGTGCGGAAGGTACGGAAAACAGACCAATGTGAGAGATCCTGATGTGCTAAACTTGAATGGGTAGGACATAATGCTGGATTGAATATGGGAGAAGGGAGGGTTTGAGAGAGAGGGAAATGCCAGAAATTACTCCTGGATTACTGGTTTGAACCACTAGATGGATGATGGTGCTATTCATTGCAAGAGGGAACCCTGAAAGGAGACAGGTTATGGATTGGGATGCTTATAGTCAAGCCATTTCCTCTCGTTAGTCCTGCTCTCCTGTTGCAATCATAGACCACTTTGACTACCTCTGTGAGCTCCCAATGGACCACTTTGGTTACCTCCACAGAGCATCAACTCATTGCTCAGAGCCTTGCTCTAGGAAAGTTTGCTTTAAAAAAAAAAACACATTTTTCTATATTTAGGAAGTACAAGTGCAGGTTTCTTACCTGCCCATGTAGTGTCGTAGTGAAGTCTTGGCTCCTGGTGCACCCATCACCTGAATAGTGAGCGCTGTACCCAATAGTAGTTTTTCAGCTCTCAGCCCTTCCCACCCTCCCACTCTGCTGCCTTTTGTAGGAGAAGAATGTTTTCTAAATAAGCTGGTGAACACGATGGGAAAACCGTTAGGTAAAATAACCAGGAGGGGATCTGAAAGTCCTATCCCAGCAACAGTGGGTAGGGAAGAACCTGGATGGGTTAGTCTTGGCAATTCTTCAACATGGCTACTGAGCCACTAGCGTCAATCTTTCTGGCTTTCATAAGCTCTTCCCACCACCTAGCCCCACAGAGTCTGTTCCACACATCTATCAGTGCCACCTGTTTGACGGTCCTTTCCTTTAGTTTTTTTCTGACTCCTTTGGAGCTTATGAACAGAAAAATGTCGAAAAGGCAGGCCGAAGACATTACTCAGCCAGACAGGGATATTTATTGAGCCAACTGTGCAAAAAACACTCCACTAGTGTTTTATTTGTTATTTGTCTGTTTGTTTGTTCGTTTGTTTTTAGACAGGGTCTCACTCTGTTGCTCAGACTGGAGGGCAGTGGTGCAATCACGGCTCAACTTCCCTGGCTCAGGTAGCCTTCCACCTCAGTCTCCTGAAAAACTGGGACTACAGATGTGCACCACCATGCCGGGCTAATTTTTGTATTTTTTGTAGAGACACGGTTTTACCATGTTGCCCAGGCTGGTGTCGTACCCCTGGGCTCAAGCATCCACTTGCCTCAGCCTCCCAAAGTGCTGAGACTACAGGCATGAGCCACTGTGCCCAACCTCTACCAGGAATTTGAAGAGGTAAAAAAGAAATGGCTCCCAAAAAAAGAGAAGGTAGAAGCAAAACATCTGGGTAGTTCACAAATTGTACAACCGACTCCTGAAACACAGAAAAAGGTGTGGTTGGTTTTTCAGGAGGTTCCATGTACAGAAGCTGGGATCTCATCATAGGGAGGCGACTGAGCTCCCGGCTTTGCTGTTTCAGAAGGGAGGACCGGCAGACACTTGAAGCTCTTGGGGGTGCTGATGCTAGGATTTTACAGACTTTGACCACGTCGCTTCCTCTCACATTTTCACTGGAAAGGACAAGGAAAACTCCTTACAGGGCAAATGAGCTGTTGACATAAATTACCAAAGTTATAAGGACATCTTCCTGGAAAACATCCCGCTTTTATGTGTAATTTCAAAGAAAATGAAATTCATTCCCTCGTCTAGTGAGTGACTTGATCATAGAGAACTATTTAGGTAAAGCAGAAAATGTTCACAGAATGTTGCAGTGTAAATTATGAGGATAAGGGCCTTCCCTCACTCTAGGACTCACAATAAAAGAGTTGATCCACATTTGGGGTCTAATGACCCCTGAATCTTTTTTTAAACAATGTCATCAAACTTACTAGGGCCCAATTGTGGGAAACTGAGGTAGGGACTTGAAATACCATTTCCTGGCCATGTACTGCATTCCTGAGTCAGGCACTGCAGGAGCTTCATAGACACTATTCACTTAATTATCGCAACAACCCTGTTAACCAAGTATTATATCCCCAGTTTTACAGAAAAAAAAATTTTTTTTCAAAGGGACAAAGGCATTGGCCACACAGCCAGTGCAAGACAGAACCAGATCCAAGAGTTCTGCCACATTCCATTGTCTGTGATATTGTGTTGTCTCCTGTTGCCAGTTCCCTTTCCACCCTTTTGACCTTTTTTCCACTTGGAGAAAATTAATCTTCCTGAACCCCATGAGCCACATCAAGAAGTTCCTGCTGCAGCCTCAGCATCATCTGAAACTTGTTAGCCATCTAAACTCTCAGGTCCTGCCCCAGAACGTCTGTTTTAGTCTGTTTAGGCTACCATAATACAGTACCATAGACTGGGTGGCTTATAAACAACAGACTTTTATTTCTCACAGTTCTGGAGCCTGGGAAGTCCCAGAGCAGGCACTGTGTCTGGTGAGGGCCCATTTCCTGGTTCATACATGGCGCCTTCTTGCTGTGTCCTCACATGGTGGGATGGGCAAGGGAGCTCTCCAGAATCTCTTTTATAAGGGCACTGATCTCATTCATGAAGACAGAGCTTTCGTAATCACCAAAGTCTCCACCTCCTAATAGCATCACACTGAGGGTCAGGAATTCAACAAGCATTTGTTCTGTAGCAGCCACTGAAAATGAAACTCTGGGGTGGGTCCAGCAATCTGTGTTGTAGCAAGCCCTCCAGCTGATTCATAGGAAATGAATGACTTAGAGGGATTCCTTGGGGATCTTTACTAGGACATGTCCAAGAAGTACTCTGGAGTAATTCAAGGAAGTAACCAAGAACTCTTCAGGGCTCAACTATCCATAAGTGGCAGATCACTTCCTGGGGGACTGCAAGGGGTTCTCTGTGTTTACATGAGTTGAGGAACTGGGCTGGAGGGAGTGACCACCCAGGACCAGCTGTGCCTGCAATCTTTGCCTGCAACATAGGAAAACCTCCCGTGGTTTTCATTTCATAGGAACTCTAGCAGCCCTGGTTCTCTCCAGGTATTACAAAATAGGCCAACATAGTTTACCCTTACCATTGCAGGGTAGTCCAGACTGAGCTTTTCTTGTCACATTTCCCACTGTCTGAGTTCTCTTCCTGGCAGGGAGGCTGGCACTGTGGAGGACAGCAGGCTGCTCTGGTGGAAGCTCCTCCAGGCCTTGGCTGGTAGTGGGAGGCCTCCTGTTTGAAGCTGTTGGTGATGCCGTACCTGGGGAACATGTACACTTGGTAAGAAGCGGGTAGGGAGCCAAGGATGGTAAGCTGGAGAGAAGACTGTGAATGAACCCCCAGACAGGAGAAGATGCAGCTGTCCAAGGGTGACCTGAACACCAGAGGGCTGAGAGCAGGGAAGTAGCAAATGCCTGGGGTGAGTGTTATGGTCTAGGAGCTGCACATCAGAATTACCTGGATAAAATGATAGGTGCTAGAGCCCTTCTACAGGTTACTGAATAAGAAACTCCAGAGTTGGGGCCAAAGAATCCATGACAAAAATTTTTTTAGAGACAGGGTACATCTCTGTCACCCAGGGTGGAGTGCAGTGGTGTGATCATAGCCCACTGCAGCCTTGATCTCCTGGGCTCAAGAGACCCTCCTGCCTCAGCCTCCCTGTAGCTAGGACTCCAGGAGCACAGAGCCATGCCTGGTTAATTGAAAAATTTTTTTTTTCTAGAGATAAGGTTGTGCTGGGACTCCAGGCCCACTGCATCCAGCCAGAATCCATTTTCTTTTTCTTTTTTCTCTTTTGTTTTTTCTTTATTTTTAATGGAGTTTTGCTCTTGTTGCCTAGGCTGGAGTGCAGTGGCATGATCTCAGCTCACTGCAACCTCTGCCTCCCGGGTTCAAGCGATTGTCCTGCCTCAGCCTCCTGAGTAGCTGGGATTACAGGCACGCACCACCACATCTGGCTAAGTTTTGTATTTTTAGTAGAGACGGGGTTTCACCATGTTTCAGGCTGATCTCGAACTCCTGACCTCATGATCCGCCTGACTCGGCTTCCCAAAGTGCTCGAATCACAGGCGTGAGCCACCGTGCCTGGCCCAGAATCCATTTTCTAAGAAGCTCCTTGGCTTGCTGACTCTGATGTGGTTGGCCAAGCCGTGATCCTGGGATTTAGAAACCATTGCTGCCTTCTACAATACTACGTGAGCCCACTCAGTATAAAGGCCAGAAATAGGGGGGGTCCCCTGGGATTTGTGTGCACTTTCGGGTACAGATTCAACTTTTCAATCAGTTAGTATATTTGGTGTGGCTGTTTTAACAGAGACGGAAAGCAGAGGGTTAGACCAGATGGTAGATTTATTTCTCTTTTATATGAACGTCTGAGGTGGTAGGGCATCCAGGGTGGCACACTGGCCCTGCTCTACAGGCTTATCCCAGAGGTCCAGACTCCTTCTCCGTTGTCACCTGCCATCCCTTGAGATGCTGTCCCATCCAATAAAACTGGCTCGCAAGCACCACATCAGGGTTCCAGCCGAGATGAGGGGAGAAGAAAGCGCAGTGAGCAGCTTCCTTGGACCAAAGTAATGCAGAAGTGGCAGGTGTCTCTTTCACTCACATCTCATTGGTTGCAATCTGCTCAGATGCCACATCTGTTGCTGGGAAGGTAGGGGAAATAAAACCCTTGGCTTGGTCACCATTGCCCTGCCAAATTTGGGAAGTTTGGTTATTAAAGGGAAAATAGATATTGAGGGTTAATCAGATGCCTCTCCAAGTGGCTTGGAGTCACTATATCCCACTATACCAAGCTAACATCATTATGTTCCATTCTTAGCCGTCCCTTGAACACCACTCTCCTCTGCTTATGTGTTGTGGCCCTAGACATCATGGAGGTTGTGACAGGGTCTGTAGCTGCCACACAGGAGGTCATATTTTAAGCTGCCCAGGGCTGTGCTTCCAGGGGTGGAGCGGAAGGGTGAGGGTGGGTATATTAGTCTGTTTTCATCCTGCTGATAAAGACATACCTGAGACTGGGCAATTTACAAAGAAAAGAGGTTTAATGGAGAACTCAGAGTTCCATGTGGCTGGGGAAGCCTCACAATCATGGCGGAAGGCAAGGAGGAGCAAGTCACATCTTACATGGATGGCAGCAGGAAAAGAGAGCTTGTGCAGGGGAACTCCTCTTTTTTTTTTCTTTGGACAGAGTCTTGCTCTGTCACCAGGCTGGAGTGCAGTGGCAATATCTCGGCTCACTACAACCTCTGCCTCCTGGATTCAAGCAATTCTCCTGCCTCAGCCTCCCGAGTAGCTGGGACTACAGGCATGCGCCACCACGCCTGGCTAACTTTTGTATTTTTAGTAGAGATAGGGTTTCATCATGTTGGCCAGGATGGTCTCGATCTCCTGACCTCATGATGTGCCTGCCTCGGCCTCCTAAAGTGTTGGGATTACAGGCATGAGCCACCGCACTCAGCCTGAACTCCTTTTTTTAAAACCATCAGGTCTCATGAGACTTATACCATGAGAACACCACAGGAAAGACTTACCTCCATGATTCAGTTCCCTCCCACTGGGTCCCTCCCATGACCCGTGGGAATTCAAGATGAGATTTTGGTGGGGACACAGCCAAACTCACTATCAGAAAAAGAGAGCTCATGCAGGGGAACTCCTTTTTTTAAAACCATCAGGCCTCATGAGACTTATTCACTATCATAAGAACAGCACAGGAAAGACTGACCTCCATGATTCAATTACCTCCCACGGGGTTCCTCCCACAACACTTGGGAATTCAAGATGAGATTTGGGTGGATACACAGCCAAACCCTATCTGTGAGGTTAAGGGGTCAATAAATGGCAGTGGGTTCAGTGGTCCTGGCTTCACTCCTAGCACCTGCTCACACATCAACTTAAGGTACTTCTCTGGATTCTTAAACTAGGGATTCCCAGTTCTGTTTGTTCATTAACTCTCATTGAATCCATACACATTCACCTACAGCTCTCACATCATAAACATCTGTGTTGCCACAGAATAAAATGCAATATTTAGCCTATGGTATCTTACCCATCATATATTTGTACCCAACAAAAATTCTTAAATGTAATGGGAAAATCACTCAACAAAATGTTATAGATTGTGGGCTATGAGCCAAGAAGTGTTTATGGTTGGATTTCTAGCATCTGACACAACATAGGCATACAACAAACATTCTTTGAATGAGCAAACGATTGACTGTGAGGATGTGGAGATGAAGCAAACTGAATGAGAGTTTGTCATTCAGTGGGAAAAATGCACGTGCAGGCAAGACCTCATAATACCACTCAGAGAGGCTTCAAGTTCCCTGTTTCTCTTTCATGTCTCAGTGTTGGAGCATCGCCCCATCACTGGGTCAGTCTGCTTACCTCCCTGCAGGTGTGTTTTTGAATTAGCACATTCAACAGTAGCACTGTTGACATTTTGGATCTGTCAGTTCTTTCCTGGGGTTGAGGGGGAAAAGCCTATCTCGTACACTGTAGGATGTGTAGCTGCAGCCCTGGTCTCGACCCACCAGATGCCAGTAGCACACCTCTTCCAGTCGTGACAACCAAACATGACTACAGAAATTACCAGATGTTCCCTGAGGACCAAAACTGTCTTCTTTTGAGAACCACAGGGGTAGACCCATTACACATCTCTTTTACAAGGTGTGCCACAGATGCCGACCAAGCACTTGTGCAAATACTTAAGGACAAGTCTAAGCTTTGCTCTCAGGGATACTGGCTCTTCCCACAGTCCCCCAGCTCATGCAGGGGAGTGGATTTCTGTCTTGGTGAAAATATACATCTTATTCTTAAAGTTTCACAACAGGATGACAACTTTGCCTCCCTCACATCTGGTTTTAGGGTACATGGTTCTCATTCTAACCAATAACACCAAATCTTGTATCAAGTTGGTGGTTAAAAATTTATTCAAGAATTAATGAAATCCAGAAACTGGCCGGGCGCGGTGGCTCACGCCTGTAATTCCAGCACTTTGGGAGGCCGAGGCGGGCGGATCACAAGGTCAGGAGATCGAGACCATCCTGGCTAACACGGTGAAACCCTGTCTCTACTAAAAATACGAAAAATTAGCCGGGCATGGTGGCACATGCCTGTAATCCCAGCTACTCAGGAGGCTGAGGCAGAAGAATGGTGTGAACCAGAGCGAGACTCCATCTCAAAAAAAAAAAAAAAAGAAAGAAAAGAAATCCAGAAACTGTCAGGGTTCACTACGAACATCTGAGATTTGAGAGACAGGTTAATCATTCTTGTTTACATCCTCGTACACATTGTTATGTATGAACTTTAGTGTACAACAGAAACATTTGGGGAGTTTGTATAAATGCATGTTTTGATTCCATTTCTAGAGATTCTGATTCAGTAGATTTAGGGTGGTGCTCAGGAAGCTACACTGTCTGAAAAGCTCTTTTAAGTAATCCGTAGGCTACACTTTGAAAAGAGATATTAATTTCTCCAAGTATTATTTCTGGATGAAATTAGACAACCAGAAAGAAAAACTCTCTTGAAATCTAGTAATATTAAGTCCTTACATTTTATTCCTTTTCAAAATGTTTTTGATGATTATAGAACCTTTGTATTTCCATTCAAATCACCTTGTCAATTCCTACAAAAGTATCTTACTGTTGTCTAGTCACTGTCTATTTCATTGATTGATTTTAATTCTCTGCATAGTACTTAAGTACTTTTAAATTATCACTGATCTCCTCCCACTAGAATATAAGCTTCATGAGAGCAGAGGAATTATCATTTCTTTTTTTCTTCACTGTATCTCCAGTTCCCTGAGTAATGCCTTTCACATATTAGGTTCTCTATACATATTTATTTTATTATACTTTTATTTACTCATTTATTATTATTATTTTTTTGAAATGGAGTCTCTCTGTTGCCCAGGCTGGAGTGCAGTGGCACGATCTTGGCTCACTGCAACCTCCACCTCCCGGGTTCAAGTGATTCTCCTGCCTCAGCCTCCCAAGTAGCTGGGACTACAGGCGTGTGCCACCACGCCCGGCTAATTTTTTGTAGTTTTAGTAGAGACAGGGTTTCACCATGTTAGCCAGGATGATCTCGATCTCCTGACCTCGTGATCCGCCCATCTTGGCCTCCCAAAGTGCTGGGATTACAGGCATGAGCCACCGTGACGTATTTGTTGAATAAAGGAAAAAATAAAAATAAATAAGAGATACCGAATGTGTGTACTCAAGTCCAGTTTAAGGGTATTTTACTGGACGGTAACCTCTAACTTTCTATTAATCATTATATTTTATTAGCCAGAACACCTATCTGGTTAAACAGTTACCTTGTTTCTAACAAATAGGAAAATAATTCATGGCTAAATGACGGCTGTGTCTTGTTCCACGGTGGCTGCTTCTCATTAACCTTCATAATACGCAGATCTGCTGTTAAAACGGATGGGTTTCAGGTGATTCGATCAGCCTAATGAAGTGTAGCGCAAGGGTTTTGTAAAGGGGTGCAACTGTCAAGACTTCCTCTGGCAGGAAGGCAGACTCACTGAGACGGCAGCGTGGCACCCAAGACCTGTGCTTTCGTCTTTCTCTCAAACTCACTATCCCTTTCCCTCTTTTTCTCTAGCACTGTTTCTTGACTCATGCCTAGAACTCCACAGCTTCAAGGTAAGTGTCAGGACTGTTAGTTGCAGGTGAATGAAATCCCAACTCAAATGACTGGAGCAAAGATGGGAACGCAGGGTTGAGAGAGGGGAGGGTTGATATCTGGTCTGGTGGGTGTGGTGCTCAAGTGGTCTCCCAAGAATCCTGCTCACATTTCCCCTGGGGCAGCTTAGTTCTGGGGAAGCGCTCTTTTCACGGTGGTAAGTGGATGTCGGTATCTATGGCCTTACCAACACTCACCTTCTCAGGATGCCCACAGAAAGAATTCCCCTTCCCCAACAGTTCCAATAAGAGCCTTGGAATTGGGCCAGGCATGGTGGCTCATACCTATAATCCCAGTGCTTTGGGACGCCAAGCCAGGAGGATCTCTTGAGGCCAGGAGTTGGAGACCAGCCTGGACAACACACTGTGACCCCATCACTACAAAATAAAACAGAAATTAGCCAGGCGTGGTGGTGCATGCTTGTAGAATCAGCTACTTGGGAGGCCAAGGCAGGAGGATGGCTTGAACCCAGGAGTTTGAGGCTGCAGTGAGTTATGACTGTGCCACTGCACTCTAGCCTGGGCAATGGAGCAAGACTCTGTCTCAAAAAAAAAAAAAAAAAAAAGGCTTTGAATGGAGTCTCATTTGTTCTAATTGTCCTGGCCTGGATAGCTTAACCACCCAGACGTCACTGTGGCCACTGCACGTGGTGCTCTGCAGGGACAGCCTAGGTCTCACGTCCACTTCTTGGACCAGGAATGAGGCTAGCGCCACAAAACCCTGGTGGAGTGAGGGTGAGAAGACAGGCAGACATGGGGCAGGAAAAAGTGCAAATGTCCACTTGAGCACTAAAGGGGGCCACGGTTGATGCCTTTCAAAGGTGAGGCCTGAGAAGGGTGCTTCTTGCAAGTCTGCCAGTGCTGTGTCTTTCCACATGCTGAGTCCTGGCTCATTGGAGCCCTTGGGAAGTTCCTGGTTGGGCATTTCAGGTGCATGTTGCCCTCTTAGCTCCAGACCTTTGGTTTTGATGGTGCTCTTCCGTTTGTACCCTTGCCGTGCATAATGTTGTGATATAATAAGAAATATATATTTGGTTTTTGTCCCCAGTTCCTGGCACAGAGTTCCTAAGACCCTTGGAATTTCCATTGTGTTAGGGTCACGCCTAACACATCTTTTGTTACTCATAAGAAGTCCCTTTCAACCACACCTTAGTTTATGTTAATGAGGTGACAAAACCCCTAAGGATGAGGCTGGTTTCCAGGGGAACCATGTGATTAGAGGTCGAAGCTTTTAGCCCCACCACCCAGGAAAAGGAAAGGAGCAAGAGATTGACTTAGTCAACAATGGCCAAAGATTTTATCAATCAATCATGCTTACATAATGAAGGTAATGGAACCTCTATAAAAACCCTAAACAATGGGGTTTGGAGAGCTTCTGGGTTGGTGAACCCATGGAAGTGCTGAGAGGAAAGCGTGCCCGGAGAGGGCATGAAAGTTCTGTGCCCCTTTTCCTATCCCTTGCCCAGTGCATCTCCCCCATTTGGCTATTCTCGAGTTGTATCCTTTATAATAAACTAGTAAACATAAGTAAATATTTCCCTGAGTTTTGTCGACCATTCTAGCAAATTATCAAACCCAAGGAGGGGAATCAGGGCAACAGCTGATTTACAGTCGGTCAGTCAGAAGTTTGGGAGGCCAGGACCAGATGGGGTGAGTGACTGGCATCTGCAGTGGGGATATATACTTGTGGGGTACATATATTTTAAAATGTATGATGACGTTATCAACTATCATCACCCTGTTGTGCAGTCAACTAGTTTGCCTTATTGTGGGACTGAGTCCTTAACCTAAGGGGTCTATGCTAATTCCAGGAAGTTAGCATCAGAATTGGGTTAAATTGTAACACACACAGTGTTCACCAAGAATTGAAGAATTGGTGGGTGTGGGATAGCTCTTCTCCCTTTGGTGTCAGGAGTGTGAGTGTAATGATAACAGAGTGGTCCTTGGGTGCCCTCCTGTTCTCTTTTCCAACTCTGACTTTAATAGCCACCCCCACTCAGGCAACATCCCCCAAGTTGTCCACATGCTATCCCTGACCATATGCCTAGAGTTTCAAATGTGACAACCCAGCACTTCTGCTAACAGAGTAGGATGTATGAAATCTGGATATGGATGGCTAATGGGTACATTAAAAGATAGAATGAATAAGACATGCTCTTTGATTGTACAACAGGGTTACTATAGTCCATAATAACTTAATTGTACATTTTAAAATAGCTAAAAGAGTATAATTAGATTATTTGTAACACAAAGGATAAGTACGTAAGGAAATGAATGCCCCATTTTCCATGATGTGATTCCTACTATATACCCACACAATTTTTTAAAAACTAAAAAAAAAGAAATATCAACATGATTCTGCTGGAATCCAAATGTCATCCACTGGATTCATAAGACACCACCACACGTCTCTACATAGAAAAACAAGGACAAGGCCAAGAGTTGGAGATTCAGGAACTCTACCCACCCCATCCCCTTCCCTTTGGGTTCAGTGTAGGCACATCCTGTGTCTCAAGGGCCATAATGAAAGTGTTGTCTCTGGCCATGACCTTCTATTATTTTTAAGTAGCTATGGCTGAACAAAAGACAAATAAAAACTTTCTCTGCTTGACATTAAAAAAATTACTGGCATGTCATATGGTAATTCATTAAAGAATTCTCATTCATCAAAACAATTCATTTTTGTTTGAAGAGGTTGAATAAGCAGTTTCTTGCTGATTTCACTGTGAGCCTCTCTGGCCACATGTGGCTCCGGTTCGTATGTGGTAATTTTATTCTCAAATATTAAGAGCTTTGGGGGGGCATATGTGGAACATTTTAAATCACAGGGTGCTATTTTACTTAGACACCTCCATACAAGCTCATTTCCTTCTTTATGTTTTTTTTCTTTTACAATTCTAACACCTAGAACTTGCATTCAGTCACTTTTTTAAAGATGGGAAAATACACACCAAACGGATTGATTTGAATCTGCCATTGAACTGTATATAGGAAAATGGTCTCAGGGTAATTTTAAAAGTTTTTTTTTTTATAATATCCTAACGTAGGGGGAATTATTCCAGAGTTTCCTGGAATTCTGAGCATAATTAACCCTTGTAAATGTGCGCTTTACAAAGTCCTTTATGATAAAGAACACCCAGTTCATTTTTTATGGTAGTTTTGTTTCAACACCACAGAAATAGATAGCTTTTGGATTTCCCCAAAATTTTTTTCTCAGAAATTTTTTTTTTTCTTTTTTTTTTTTTTTTTTGAGACGGAGTTTCGCTCTTGTTGCCCAGGCTGGAGTGCAATGGCATGATCTTGGCTCACCACAACCTCCGCCTCCCAGGTTCAAGCGATTCTCCTGCCTCAGCCTCCCAAGTGGCTGGGATTATAGGTCCACCACCACGCCCAACTATTTTTTTGTATTTTTAGTAGAGACGAGGTTTCACCATGTTGGCGAGGCTGGTCTTGAATTCCAGACCTCAGGTGATTCACCCGCCTCGGCCTCCCAAAGTGCTGGGATTACAGGCGTGAGCCACCATGTCCAGCCTCAGAAATCTTTAGTCAGGATGATTTCCCAATATCTAACTTGTGCTATTCATTTAATAGATTTTATCTTTTAAAAGATTCTTTTCCTTTTTTAGCCTTTCAGCTTCTTCTTCCATGAGCCCAGTTTCCTTGGTGAAATCTGAAATCTTAATGCCTGTGCCTCTGACCTCTCCTCATTTTCTTTCCTCTCCTCCATAGAACAGAGACTGTAAACTCAAAATGCTGAGGTCAGATAGCTATTTTAAATGAGTAAATAGGTTGGGAACGACAGAAAGGAAGCAAAGGGGTATATGGGAACTCTGGAAACCAGAGATCCTAGACTAAGGAGAAGGTTGCCACCATTTAGCATCAGCTAAGAGTTCCCATAAGAGATGATGACCACCGAGATTGCCAGAAGATACACTTCCAAGAGAAACCAGAGATCTACGTTTTAGTGTGAAATGTTGCAGTTTTAGAAATAGTCAATTATTTTAAAATTTTAAGACTACCCCTTTCCAAAGCCTGTACATGTCCCATAGCCACTAGAAATTCTTTTACTCCATGCTTTCACTAAAGTTACTTCCATTAATATCTGATTAGGCCATACTCCTTTTTTTTTTTTTTTGAGACAGAGCCTTGCTCTGTTACCCAGGCTGGAGTGCAATGGCACAATCTCAGCTCACTGCAACCTCTGCCTCCAGGGTTCAAGCGATTCTCCTGGCTCAGCCTCTCGAATAGCTGGGACTACAGGTGTGCACCACCACGCCCAGCTAATTTTTGTATTTGTAGTAGAGACGGGGTTTCACCATGTTGGCCAGGATGGTCTTGATCTCTTCACCTCATGATTCGCCCACCTCGTCCTCCCAAAGTGCTGGGGTTATAGGCATGAGCCACCGTGCCCGGCCTAGGCCATGTACTAATTCTTACTCTTCCCCTCACCTCCTTAGTAGTTGGGCCAGAGTTTTGCAAGTTACGATAGTAACCTGGTAAGTATCTAATGACGAGAGTCCTGCTCCTCCCCTGCTGGTTATTTCAGGCACTGGGACTAGAGCTCTTCCTGGGAAAGAGTGAATTGGGACCAATTTCCCTTGGTGGAGTTTGCCACTGGCCTGTGGACAGAGACTGAGGAGAGAGCTGCTGGTCAGGAAAGAGGTGGCTCTGCCCTTAATGCTGGAAAAGAAAGAACAGCTCAGTTCCAGCCTCCATCTGTCCACTTCCCCCTCTAATCACCTGGTACTTTTCCCTCTGCCCTTATTAATCCAGCACCTCTGCCACCACTGTCAATACCGGGAGAGGCTAGATACAGGCCCATCCCGTGTACCCCATGTTACCCCCACACACCACACACACGTAGACACACACAGACATCCACACATCCACACAAAGACTCACACACACACATAGACACACACATATCCAGACATAGAGACACACATTCACATACACACAGACACACATTCACACATATAGTGATGCACACATCCACACACAGAAATGTACATTCACATCCACACATATACACACAGACACACACAGACACATACACATCTACATACATTCACACACACAGAAATGTACATTCACATCCACACATATACACACAGACACACACAGACACATACACATCTACATACATTCACACACACAGACACACAGGGAGACACACACACATCCACATGCAAAAATATACACATCCACATCCAGACTACACACACACAGGCGTGCACACACACACAGGCATGCACACACACACACACAGAACTGTCATGCCCTGACTCGTTTTCTTCTCAGCTGCTCTTGATGTTCATTTTTATTTGATTTAACCACAGAAAACGTGGTGTGTCTGGGATTTCCAATGCTGTGAACAGGACGGAAGAAGTGGTGTGTGCTCGGTTAGATTATCCCCTAATTGGTCCACAAGTGTGTGTAATTGGGAGTTGACAGTATTGAATTACACTTGGTTTTTTGACAGTACTTAAGTTTTTAAAACATTTTTGCAGTTAGCATTTTATTTTCAGTTTTATAAATAAGCCCTGTGGCTCCGGTAGCGAAATATTGTTGCTAAATATTGTCGCTAAACAAAAATTTTGTTTTTAACAGATTTCAAGACTTGTCAGTAAGGCTCAGAGGCTTGCTTGATGATACTGGGTGATCAGACATATGAGGGTCTCCGAAGACATCTGGACATCAACTTTTTTTTTAGACAGAGTCTTGCTCTGTCGCCCAGGCTCGAGTGCAGTGGCACGACCTTGGCTCACTGCAACCTCCGCCTCCCGGGTTCAAGCAGTTCTCTGCCTCAGCCTCCCGAGTAGCTGGGATTACAGGCGCCTGCCACCACACCCAGGTCATCTTTGTGTTTTTAGTAGAGACGGAGTTTCACCATCTTGGCCAGGCTGGTCTTGAACTCCTGCCTTTGTGATCCACCTGCCTCGGCCTCCCAAAGTGCTGGGATTACAGGCGTGAGCCACCGTGCCGAGCCACATCAAATATTAAAGTATGATATTGGCTGACATGAATTTTCACTGAATTGTGTGTGTGGTTTTACTTTTCCTATGATTTTATTTTATTTCTTACCAAAAGTGATTCGTTACCAATGGTAACTACACAGGTGACTGAATATTTATAGTGTAGTTAGCTATGGTGTCCCAGTTTTTGGTCTTGTTAATTTGATCACTGTATTTATGATGCACTCAGCCAATTAGTAGGAGATCAAAGACCAGTATTCATTTTCTGACTATGATGATCTGTTTGGTATTTTTTTCTAATTAGATTGGGTCAAGCAGCACAAAAAGAAGGGTAAATGTAGGGTTTCCATGCAATGTTCTTGTTTGTGTATACCTTGCTAAAAAATTTTAAAGCATTACCCTGCTAGCTTATTGCAAACTTATGATCTAGCAAACTCTTCTCTGGGGGAAGCTATATCAATTGGGATTTTTTTTGGCTACAAAATCCAGAAAACCCAACTGAATATAGCTGTAAAAAAAATAATATCTCTCCAAACAGCCAAACTTGGAACAATTTTAACGACAAAATAAAGTAGTACTGGATTGCAACGTAAAGTATAAAGTAAATATCCAGGAATCCATACTGATATAAATAAATGATTGCATAAAGAAGTCAATAAATGGGGGAGAAAAGACAACTCCTCGCAGAAGAATTCCAAATAATTTATGTAAATACTCTGCCCTCAAGGAGGTGGGCCACGCTTCATGCTCCTTCAGGGTGGGCTGCCCGTAGCGACTTCTTTCTCAAGAATACAGTATAGAAAGGGGTGGGAGGAAGAGTAAATTTACAGTGGAGAAACCTCACAAACACTACGCCAGGCAGGAGGTCAAGGTTAGTATCAACAGTGATAAACCATGTTGAAAGCGTGTACCCTTGATACGATGTGATGAAAATGGCACTTTACCTCTGGGGTCTTCCTCCCCCAAACACCATAACCCCGGTATGATTGTGAGAGGAACATCAGACAAATCGCAGGACAGAGGTACCCTACAAAATACTTCACCGTTACTCCTCAAAACTGTCAAGGTAAATCTGAGAAGCCATCACAGCCCAGAGTAGCCTAAGGAACCATGACAACTAAATGCAGTGTGGTGTTCTGGGGAATCCTGGAATGGAACATCAGGCAAAGCTAAGGATATCTGAATACACTCTGGGCTTTAGTTAGTAATAATATATCCAGTATATGGTTCATTAATGGTAACAAATGTACCATACTAATGCAAGATGTTAATAAGAGGGAATCTGGGTGAGGGATATATGGGAACTCGCTATACATCTTCTCGATTTTTCTGTATATCTAAAACTATTCAAAAAAATAGTGTTTTTTTTTTTTTTGTTTGTTTGTTTTTTTTTTTTTTTTTTTGAGACAAGATCCCACTCTGTCACCCAGGCTGGAGTGCAGTGGCAGGATCATGGGTCACTATAGCCTTGAACTCCTGGGCTCAAGTGATCCTCCCACCTCAGCTGCTTGAGAAGTTGGGACTACAGGTGTGCATCACCACATCTGGCTAATTTTTTAATTTTTAAAATGTTTTGTAGAGGTGAGGTCTTGCTGTGTTGCCCAGGCTGGTCTCGAACTCCCAGGCTCAAGCAATCCTTCTACCTCAGCCTCCCAAAGTGCTGGGGTTACAGGTGTGAGCCACCATGCCCAGACAAGTGTAGTTTTCAAAAAGTCTTATCTTACCTAAAAGAGAGGACTCACAGGACATGGCCAGAGTCGGTTGATTAAGCAGAGAAGCAATCCTGGAAGCTCAGGTTCTTTCCGCCTGCCTGCTCTGCTCACCTGACGTGGGCTGATCTCCCCTAGTGGGTCTCATGGTTGTAACAGAACCACTGCACTTACCAGGACACAGGCAGACACAACAACATCCAATAGGAGGCAGAAACCATTTTTCATTATGTTTCTTTGTAAGTGTGAAGGTCCTTTCCCTAGAAGGCCCCAGGAGGTCTCCCTTTGAGACCACTGGATGGAACTGGTGCCATATCTGCTCCTGAACCATCGCTGACAAGGGAGTAAGATGACCCCAGCGTCTGACAGGAATAGGACTTCCCTTGAGTCTCATGGTGGGGACATCTGAGCCAACTGGGCTCTTCCAGCCCCTAAGAATAGGCTGAGGAACTGGCCACACTGCTGTGCAAGCTGAGGCAAAGCAAATGACCTTCCTACTTGGAAGAGTTGTGGTTGTATCTGCTTCCCCAGGTTGAACACACCACTCCAGTCCCTGTTAAGCCCCATCCTCTTTGTGTGTCCATTTCTGCAACTTGTGTGAGTCTTTTTGAAGGTTAATGCTTAGGTATTCTATATTAAGCTGTGGGCATATTATTTTTCTCTTTTCTTTCCAGTGGCTGCCTAATGGCTTTACTACTCACTATAACTCTTCCCATCTCTCAACATGAATAGGGAAAGCTGCTTGACTCAGTTCCCTGCTTTGCGTTAGTTTGGAGGTACTTATTTGCAGTGCTCTCATATCTGTGCTCTATTTTCAGGGCTCATATGGAGCTCTGCTAAGGAAAGCCATTTTCCCCCTGCTTTTCATCAGAAAAATGTAGATGACAAGTGCCTATATAACAGACCCTCCATCAGAGTCCTAAACATGTTTCCAATGCCCCGGCACTATTATGCCAGTGCATCCTGTCACTCTCAGTCTCTGTAAATGGTGATATATATTATTAAGATGCTAGATCTTCTACTTGTAGTAATGTGGTTCCTAATAGGTTATGGAATAATTTTTGTAAATAATTATGATCAGTAATCTGGGTCCCACAGTCTTGTTTACAGAGGCAAGAGAGGAGAAAATCCTTCAAAATAATATAGGTAAACCTTTTATATCTTCCAGTGAGAATAAACATTGACAGTAACCACAGTTGCTTTCTCTCTTAAAACCAAGAAAAGGCAAAAAAAAAAAAAAAAAAAAAAGAAAGAAAGAAAGAAAGAAAGAAAGAAAGAAACAAGTGAGAATAAGAGAGAACTAAAGATCTAGATTCTACAAATGTACTTGTCAGAGAGTGGTGAGTCCTATGGTAAAATAAATCCAACAGGTTTGGAAGCCTGGCTACGCTCCTGAGAAGGGGTATATCAAGGAGACTTTATTCAAGAAGCAAAACCAAACAAAAACAGAGGAAGAGACTGAAAACCACATCATTTCCTGGTAAAGAGTGTACGGTGAATTGGGTGAAGGAATACGGACTCAAGAAAACCCGTGGGGGAAAATTGACGCTTCCTCCCAGCCCCCACCCCGCTTACTTCCTCTGTTTATCTGCCAATGCAGAAAATAAGCCAACAATAAAACAAGCAAAGAAACCACTATCTAATGATAATTTCTGAGCCTTCTATGCCTTTTTTTTCTCACCCAAATCCCTAGAGAGGTGATGGTGTGGACATGAGTTTTATAACAACTGATGAACTTGTTCTGAGAGGAGTGTACGTGTGCACGTGTGTGTGTGTTGTGCTTGTACACACATTCATGCATGCATAAGTGTGTGTGCCTGAGTGCATGTGTGCATGTGTGTCTGTGTGTGTGGCTGAAGAGAGGAGTGGAGGAGTGAGACACACAGAGAGAGAAACTATGGGGGCACCCGTACTTGTCTGATTTGAAAGGATAATGTTTTGAGCCGAAGGGATTTGATCTCTACCTCATCTAGAAGCTGCTTTAGAACCACAGAAGCCTGGATTGTCTCTACAAAGGGTGCAAGATAAAGGTGTTAGGACAACTTAAAGAGACGGGAGGTGCTAGGAATCGGCAGGTGCCTGATTGCCAAGGTAAGGCTTGAGAATCCTGCTCTCCCCTCAGTCTCTCCCAGGTATTGTTCTTCCAATGCTCCCTAAGTCCCTTCTGGCATGGAAATGTGTCTCAGATCTATTACCTAGTAGAAGACAGTGCCAGGAGGCAGGTCTAAGTGTGCCTACTCTGAAATGGGCTTTGGAAATTAGATCATCCACAATCCCCTGGCATAGTTAGTGGGCAGTTATTAACATTTTCACCAGTGATGAATTGAGGGGTCCTCAGGTATGGGGGAGAACAGTAATGAAAGTACCGTGACATCAGACAGCTCTTTCTGAGCGACGCCAATACACTGGAGAAAGACAATGAAAGGCTGCGAGTGAATAACCACCAATTTAAGGCAAAGTGTGAGAGTTGGAGGACCTCCTTAGCAGCACGTGAAGAGCTCCCCATCTCCTGAAGTCAGAGGCAAATAATAAGAACAAATAAATTGAGGATCATGCCTAGGACTCAATTACAAAGTTAGTGGAGTTTCAGAGAAGATGGGATCCTCAATCCCAGCAAGTTTTCTCTGCCCAGATCATGGCCCTGGTTGGGAAGAAGTGGGAAACTGAGACTTGGGATGGATATATCTGGGTTGATCACTCTTGAGTGAGCCCTGAAAAGCTGGGTTCTCCGCAGTCCTTGAGCCTGTGAAAGTGGCCCACTCCTCCCTGTTAGAGGTTAGCACCCCACCCCTGCATCCATGAGAATGATGTGGAGGTCTTCACCTTGCAAGGCAGCACATACCCCTCTCCACCTCAGGATCTGCCCCCACATCCACTCCCTGTCAGATCAACCACTAGGACCAAGTCAGAGCATAACCTGGTTGGGGAAATGTTGGGCCTGGTGAAGGAAGAAGGGAACTATATGCTGAAGAATCCGTAGCAAACATACAACAGCAGAAGCTGGGAATGTATGTATGGGACTGGATCCTGAAAGTGCGAGATCGAGAGGGAAAGGATTATAAAGTTGGACAAGGGAGTTTGTTGATATGGGAAGTCTCTCTCATGCTATGGAATTACACATCCTGGCAAGGACCTGGGAGATTATGCTCTAGGAATACACTGTTAGGTTGGCACTCAGAAGTATAGCAAGAGTGACGAGCTACCAGGACTACTAGAACTTCTGTGGAAAATGATGGAGGAAGGGATCAAAAGGCTCAGATAAGTGGGCATGCTAGACTGGGAATACTATTCAATCCTGAAAACTTACCAGCTGACTTTGTTAAATGGGAATCCTCTGATGATGCTATAGAAAGTGAGAGAGAAATCCCATGAGGATCCAGATCCACATCAATGAATATATAGGGATCCAGTACTCTAAGGGATCCCAAAACATCCCCTCCAAAGCAGTATGGAATCTATTGATAAAAGGGCCTTCTGATATGGTGGAGAAGCTCACTGTTGGTTGTCCTCTGCAGGCAGGGACTGATGGCGGGAGATGTTACAGAACTGGGCTTCCTGATAGCACTGAGGATGAAAAGATTCCAAAACAATAGATTTAACCAACAGAATCAAAGTCGGTGTAATTACTATAATGGGCATCTGGGATAGAGTTGGGAAGGGGGTGCTCTGCAGAGAGCTATGGTAATGGTTAACAGAGCTTGGTATTTCTAGGAGCAAGACAGATTGGAGCCGACAAGGGTATTGCTCAATCTGTACCTTAAAAGAAATTAAGAATGAGTGATCAGGAGGCCAAGGGCAGCCATCCTATTAAAACATCATGATCCCTTATTAGTTTCTACATGTGGGTCAGTCTTCAGACCTGGAATCCATTAACTGAAGGAGAACCTGGGTTCTTAGGAGGAAGGATTCTATATCACCATAGCAACTGTATATGATGACGATTTGTCCAATATTTCTCCAAAGGAACCTATAGCCTTTGACTGAGGTAATCATCTGGTTGGGGAAGAGGGATACCCGGACATTTCCAGGATTGTTGGATGCAAGGTCTGTGTTCACATTAATACCTGAGGATGTGCAGCATCATCGTGCTCCTCCTGTTAGAACAGGGTGCATGAGCATCGCGTGATTAATAAAGACCTGGGCCTGGACTGATTCACAGTGGGTTCCCCGGGTCTTCAAACCTACCAAATGCTCATTTTCTTAGTCTCAGTGTATCGTTGGAATGGACATACTTGGTCTTTGGTAAAACCCCACCTTGATTTCTTCATTTGTGAGTTTGTGGAGTGATAACTATTGTAGTAGTGAAGGTTAAATAGGAAAACTCTGGCCGGGCACAGTGGCCCATGCCTGCCGTCCCAGCACTTTAGGAGGCCAAGGCGGGTGGATCGCTTGAGTTCAGGAGTTAGAGACCAGCCTGGGCAATGTGGTGAAACCCCATCTTTACCAAAAAAGCCCCCCAAATTAGCTGGGCCTGGTGGCACACACCTATAGTCTCAGCTACTCAGGAGGCTGAGGTGGGAGGATCACTTGAGCCCAGGAGGTCAAGGCTGCAGTGAGCCATGATCATGCCACTGCACTCCAGTCTGGGTGACAGAGTGAGACCTTGTCTCAAAAAACAAACAAACAAACAAAACTCTGAAACTGCCCCTCTACCCTGGCCGAAAGAGTAAATGAAAATGAAATCAAGATTGCATCCCAGGGAGAATGGTAGAGATTAGTGCCACCCACAAGACTTCAAGTGTCCAGGAGTAGTGGTTCTCCTCATAGACCACTTAATTCACCAGTCTGGGCCCCGCAAAGACCAGAAAGATTCTGGAGGATGTGAACTATGCAGACTCAAACTCAACCAAGTAATAGTTCCAATTTCTGATATTATTACAGACACGGTTTTGTCATTGTAGTTGTTTTTGCTAGAACGTAGTAACACATCCTCGGGTATGTGGTGTGTGGCCTTGGTTTAGCAAATGTGTTCTTTGCTATTCCTGTCAGAACAGAGTACCAGAAGCAGGTTACATTCACATGGAGTGGATGACAGTACACATTTACCACCTCTCCCCAAACATACATTAACTCTTCTCCCTTCAATAATTTAGTCCAGAGGGAACTTGGACTGTCTGGACACTTGAAGAACATTATATTGGTCCACTAATTTGATGACGTCAAGTTAATAGGTTCACATTAACAAGATGTGGCAAGTAATTAGAGACCTGCTAACATATGTGCTTCAGAGGATGTGAGAAAATCCCACAAACACTCAGGTGTCCATCATATCCATGAACATTTAGTACAGAACAGCTGACTGCATTTCATATTTCCCCTCACTAAGAAGACAGCGTAACACCTGGTAAGCCTCTTTGGGTTCTGAAGGCAGCATTTTCCTCCTTGGAAATATGACTTTGATACATTTTCCAAGTGACATAGAAGGTTGTCAGCTTTGAGTGGGGTCCAGAGCAGGAAAGGGCTCTGTGTCAGGTCTAGGTTGTGATGCAGGCAGCCCTGCTGCTTGAACCGTATGATCAGCAGACCTTCTGTTATTAGACGTATCTGGGTGGGAAAGTGTGCCATGTGGAGTTTATGGCAAGCCCAATAGGAGATTCACAATGTAGACCCCTAGGGTTCTGGAGCAAGGCCATGCCATCTGCAGCAGAGAATTATATATCATTTGAAAGTATAGCTCCTGGCGTGCTAATGGACCTTGGTTGAAATGAACATGGGACATCAGGTGACCATGTGGCCAGACTGCCCGTGATGTTCTGGGTTCTATTCAACCCAACAAGTCATAAGGTCAGGTGGGCCTAGGAGCAATCCATCGTAAAATAGAAGTAACACATCCAGAATTGAGCATCAGCAGGGCAGGTGGACACAGGGGAGCTGAATAAGCAGGTGGCCCGACCCTCCTGTCACCCACCCCTGCCACACAGCCCCTCTCACTCCATTCATATTTATGATGACCACCTGCATGACCGTGAGGGCTGCAGGGCCTCTTATTGATCAACTGATGGAGGAAGAAAAAGGCCAACCTTAGTGTATGGAAGAGTCAGATTTGCTTGTGGGTGCAAGCCAAAAGTGAACAGCGGCTGCATGCCGTCCCTCCTAGGAGTGTCCTTGAAAGATAAGGGGAGGGGAAATCCTCCTCCCAATAGGAGGAGCTTTGGACTGTGTTATCATTCACTTTTGAGAAAAAAAAAGTGACCTACACAGAGATTCATGGGTGATGGCAAAAGGCTAGGCCAGGGGCCTGGGAGGAGCAAGAATGGGAATATCAGGGACAAGGACTCTGGGGAAGAGGCATGTGGATAGAACACTGGGAGGAGGCCTTGAGTCACCTTTTAATGCCCACCAGAGAGCATCTGCTGCAGGAGAAGCACCGAACACCCAAATAAACACAATGGCCCATGTATTGTACCTACGGGGACACAGTACCATATAATGGTCACTGACTTTGGGTCCTAGAGGATGCTGTCCTAAGAATGCAGGGTTTCATCTTCAAGCTGGTAGCTAATCTGCTCCTTTAAAAGCCCAGCTCGTCTCTCCATTAGGCCAGCAGCTTCTAGGAGATATAATAAGTGACAGGATGAGTAGAGCCCATGGTCAAATGCTCCCTGCTGGAACTTCTTCGC